GGGGGGGGGGTGAGTCTTTGATTCCTTGAGCTGTCCTTCAGAGGAGTGATATATTCCACATATCCTGACAGCCTGTGAAAACAGAACCCACTTTTCACTCCATGTGTGTTCCTGCACAAACTATACTGACCAGCTTTCTCCACTGATTGTTTTCCTCTTTCCACTGTTTCATCCTCATGGCAGCCTTTTGACCCTTTCACACCTGTGTTTCACTACTCTGCAGCTGTCCTTGCTCTGAGCCCTCACACAAAGTGTTGTGCATCACCTTGTCCAGAGAGATGCAGGATATACAGTATATTTGTTCAGAGCACCAGGAAGGGATGCATCACCACAGAAGTGGGCAAAAGCAGGTGTACGAATGCACAGATGACTCAGCTCTTCAGGAACTAGAACAGTTTCCACTTCAAGCATGGGACAGAGATAGCCTTCACCTGAGTTACTGCAAAACCACAAGGGCAATATGATTTTTTCTTTTCTGTTGCCATAGTGACCTCTCTAAAAGCCTGTATCCTTAGAGAGAGATGCTCCTAACATGGTGTTAGTAGTGAGTTTTGCTTCTCACTAGTCATAAATGAGCCCTCATAACCTCCACAGAGGCATATATACTCCTGGGAATGCATTTTATAGCTCTAATTTAAGCTTTGCTTATAATCTGAAAACTGCAATAAAAGCTCATCAACAGAAAATAAAAGTTTTCCATATTTGCTATCAGAAGCTATTTACTTGAAAATAATTAGCATAGAGAACATTTGTTTTATTAGGTCTGTGGGTTTCTGTCGGGATGATGGGGTTTTGGATAACACATGAGCTTGGAAAGGCTCTGTTATGCCCTCAGGGTAATATAAATCCCTCAGAGGAGATAATGCACCACCGGAAGAACATGGTAATGAGGTAAGGCAAACAGAAACAAAAGATAATTACATTAGAGAATATGTCTTAGACAAAATGCATCATTACAACACATCAAAGCAAAGTAAAATGAAGACTGCAAGCTGACTTCCAGTTTATTATTTTTACCTTCCCATAAATCCACTGTCTGGAAAATATCTGTTGTTCTTACTCCATAGATTTCAGCAGCTTTTAAGAATTGAGAAATTTGTTCCATCTGCTTGAAAGCCATTTTTGATTCAGAGATCTTCGCAATGGGCTCATTTCCCTTTGGATGTAAACTGTTTATTAACTTGCATAACAGCTGAGAGGTAAATACAGAAACAAAATTAGAAAGCAGTCACCAAACTAGAAGGCAATTTCTGTACATGAAATGATGCTGCAAAATGTTTTTGACCTGGCCAGTTTCTGTCAGAGACATAATTTCTTCAACTAAAAAGAAATAAGTGAATTTATAATAATCAAAGCATATTAGAAATGCACTAAAGCTTTCATTAACTGATGGCAATAGCCTGACCAAATAAATCCTAATCTGCTAGAAACAACAAAGCAATCACTGGTAAAGGTTATATAACATCTGACAGAGAAGAAACCACATGCCCGAGCCAAAAAAAATAAGCAATGTCAATTGAAATATTGTTAAAGTCACTTTGGCAGACATTCAACGATTAGCGTGTTCTTACAGCCCACTGCAAACAGCAGCATCTGCCTGTTGTTCAATAAACCAATGGAATACAATGTTTTAGCTACACAATTATTCCTAAGAAGAAAACAGTTATGACATAATCCAATCCTTCACATTTTCTATATCTCTTCACCCTTCCCCATCAACACTGATTATTTCTTAAAGAGAAAAGCATATATCTGATTTTAAAACAGATATCATTTAACTGTATGAGAAAAGCTGCTGAAGGAATGAGTCACTCTCATATATAACATGTATGACTCATAAAAATCATAATCACTGTGCTAAATCTAGTGCACCAGTAGAATAATTACCTTCCAAGATCAAGATTCCTTGTCAAAAGGAAATAAATTAGATGCTATATATATTTTTGCACTGGCCATGAGCTCTAACCAATTTAGCCAGATTAAGACAGAAAATAAGGACACCGCATATAAACACATGCAAGTATATAATTGGACAAAACACTTACTGTTCCATCCATCAACCAGGTCTGAAAATGTTGCCTTCCAGGAGGAGGATGCTCTATCTGTTCTCCACACTGTACAATAATCCAGTTCACCAGCCTAGACTCTAATTCCGGGTCATATTTCTGTTCAATCTTTTCCTGAACTTCTCGGCTTAAGCCATAGCTTGGTCCTCTGTTAGCCATCCCTGGAACTAAAGCAGAACTTACTTAGTGGGCAGAGTCCACTCTGATCTGCAGCTTTGCAGCTCTGATACACACCAGAAAATTAAAGAATAAAAGAGTGAGCAGCTTGCCCTGTATGTTAGACAGTTGAACAGATGTTCATCAACACTGAAAGTAACTGTATGGCAGCAGTTATAGCTGTTCTGCAGAACAGGGGAGGGATCAGCAAGGGAATATCCTTTTCCAAAAGCACAGATCAGCTACAACATTTTTTTTTTTTAAGAAGGAAAAACCAGAAATCCCCCCTGCCCAACCACAAAAACAGAAGAAGAAAAGCAAGATTTAAAACAGAGTAGGTTTTAAAGAGAGGCTTCTGCTCTGTTTACAAAGAACGCAGTAGAGTTCTCAGATCAATGTTAAGCTGCCTGCAAATCCAAAAGCACTTTAAAATTGCCTACCTAATACTTGCTAATAAGAAGAAGATTGTACATGGGAGCTCAAGCAATCCGATTAAAGATGCAGTCAGGGTCTTCCCCAGCAGAGATGCAAGGACGGATATCCAGAGATCAGCAAACTGAAAAGCGTTGATGAATTCAAGAGATGAAGGCTGCTACAATGCCCTGCTGCTGCAGCATCGTGGTTTGAAGAACAGTGTATTGATTTGATTTTCCTCACTTATGAGGAGGGTCAAAGCAGGGGCGTTGCTAAGAGCCATTAAAGAGGCCTGCCTACTCAGTCACAGCCTGGGGATCCTGTTTATCTCACCCATCTGCAGCCTGTTTTCAAGCACGTTTCCTCAGCCTTGCGCTGTTCACCCTACAGGCTCTGTTTTATTCCACCTAGTCTGCATCAGCCTACGCTGCACCAAGCATCCCAGTGCCAGATAGTTAGAAATACAAATCGAAGGACTTCGCCAGACTCCACTCTGTTAAATGAAGATAACAGAAATTACTTCACATCTTGTTTATTTTTAATCACAAAGCAGAAGCAAAACCTTTTTCTCCAGGCTGCATCAAGATGCTAACAGGCTTACAGTGTGAAAAATAATTTCTCTTCTTCCCTCTTCAAGTGCTGATAAAAAGTTGCAACAAGGGGGCAATAGGATGAAAAGTCAAGTAAGAGAAGGCAGGTAGCAGAATATTATTATCACCCAATCATTAGTATATATTAGGCTATCAATTAGTATACTAGTGTCCTGAGAAAACAACCTGAACCACTAAAACCAAGGGGAAATCATCGAAAACTAGCAAACCTACTGCAAAGCACAAGGATATTTTCTGCTGGTATGAGTCAGCATACCTCCAGGGATAGCAAGGGCGCTATGCCCATGTACAGTAGTTTAAATTTTGATTATACCACTGGTGGGAGGGGAGAAAAGGAAAGTTAAGACAAGAGACTTTTCTTCTGGTCTCATTTGTACAGATTTGTCCTTTACTAAATACAATCATTGTGCTCCTCTCTGAGTTGCACCAGACTTTGTCAAATGTCTTTCATCCATGCTGTATTATCTGCCCTGCTATGACATTATTCCCTTTTGGCAAATGATTCATGTTCTACTTGATATGAAAGGAGGTTGATAAACCCGAGGTGGATTCACAATCAGCTTTGCCAACAAAAGTCCTCCTGCCACATTTAAAAAGAAAAAAAAAAAAGTAAAAAGAGAAAGGAATACAGCTCCTTGTTTATCTATCTCATAATGGCCTCTTGATCCATTACTTTCTCTTTTTAAGAGCATGAATTCTCTGATTTATACTGCTTCAGATGCTGCTGGGCTTGAGCAGACTCAAGAGATGAAAAATTTAATAGATGACCTAATTCATTGTCGTCCTCAACTGGCATTTCATTTAGTGATTTCTCTTCTCTACACTGGTAGTTTTAAAACCCTATGAAATATTTGATTATATAACTCGGAAGATGCTACGTGACAGGGCCACCACTTAAGTGCTTTCCATCCCAGCGAACATGCTGTTGAAGGCACAGCAAATGCACAGGAACCAAGACTGCAAACCAAGCTGGAGATCAGAGGAGGAGCAAACTGCAGCTGCAAGAGTAAAGAGCAATACACGAACTTGACGTCCTTTCCATTCAAGTGACCGTTAAGGGCCAGGCTTTGCACTCTTTGGCCAGCCCCCACAAAGAATAAGAAGCTTTATTTTGCACTTTCAGATCTCTTTGCAATCTTCTATTTAGAACGGAGCTACCTGGGTTGGTTGTCTGTTTCTGGTCACACCAGGGTGTTCAGTGCTCACTGGCAATGAGATTTCATGAAAGCCACCTTTGCATCAGCCTCTGACCCTGTTTCCTAACTTGGGGGCAGGGATTGGTAATTTAACTCTCCTTAAACTGCAGAGCAGAGCTTTCCCCCTTCACAGATGTTGGCTATGCATCCTGTTCTCAAGGGACCGTTCCATACTATGAAAGCTGAAAAGCAAGCTTGTCCATCAGTATCAATTTTTAATAAGGCTTTGAAAACCAGGAAAGCTGCAGAGGGTTGGAAAAATGCCAGCCCCCCACCAATTCCAAGTACGAGTAATCAAATCATAAGTCTGCCTCTGTGTCACCAATCCTGGGTAAAACAATTGAATTAATTTTTTTTTTTAAAGCGATAGTGTTGATGCAATTTACTAAAAGCTCTGTAGTACGTTAGAGTTGGCTATAGCACAGCAGGTTCATTAGGGAGAAACAACACGACATGGTAAAGAGACTGAAGCTGGCTAACTACTGCATCCTATAATACGCCTGTACCTGAAAAATCATTAATGATCGCGTATATTTGTAGTCTGTCTGTACAAGAACATGTTCCCAGGCCTGAACTATTTCATATGTTATTAGAAGTCACAAAAAAAGCCCAGACTACTAAGAAGATCCCAGCACATGTAAGCTGTAAACAACAAAGATAAAGTAAACAACAAAGATAAAGTAAACAACAAAGATAAAGAAAACTCCATGACAGTAGTCTACTTGGAAGCAGGCAAAAATGTATCTCATTGCAGCCAAAGTGTAGTCATCATCAGAAAAACGTTTTTTTGGAATGTAGCACTCTGTCCTATGAAACAGCAGATGTTAAAAAAAATGCAGAGGGTGATGGAAGACAAGCAGGTGGGCACAGATGCTGGGTAAGACACTGACCGAAGGGCTTGGCTGAATAAAAAGTGGGGGATGCAACAGCAATGGGAGTATCATATCCAGTTCTGACAATCACTCTCCAGAAAAAATGGTGAAAGAATGAAATAAAGAGGATTGAAAATTAGAGCCTTTACAGTAACCACTTCAGAAGCAGTATCTGTTTAGCCCACCAAAAAGCAGAAGTTAAAAAAAAGGCAAGGACATGTGGCTACAAAGCAAAGAAGAACTGAAGGAACTTGAGTTCTTCCTGTTGGACACCGGCATATTAAAGCCTAATGGATACACATGTGATGTGGAAGAAAGGGGCAGGTTTTAGGCAGCAAAGGTACTACCATTAGAACACTTCACCTGCTGCTTCCAGTGGATTTTGTCCTCTTTATTTTTCTTGGGAACACAAGATTGGAACCTGATGAAGCTTGAATACTTGAAGTAGGATTTCATGGCTGTAAGCGCTATGGCTCATTTTATGCTTTCAGATAATCACAGTATCAGCCTACAAATTTAAAAATCTTTGTAAATATATAAACAAATGCTGCCAACAACAACAGAGACAACCTTCTGAGAACCACCTTGGTTTGAAAATTGTGCATTGCAATACACATTTACCAGAAGAACAAAAAAGAAGTAACATCTTTATTTTACTAAAACATAGGTCAAAACAGACAGGAAGATTTAGAAAGAAAACAAACAAACAAAATCCCCTAACTAAATAAATTCTACTTCTTATGAATAGGGATTTAGCTTTTCTTTCAAGGACTTCTTCAAGAATCACTCTCCTAAGGACTAGCACACCCTGGTACACCTTCTGCCAGCAAACCATATTTGATACAGAAGGAGTGGATTTTCATAGGGCCAAGACCTGATCCCAGGCAGCCCATGTCCTTGACGGATTGCTTTTCCAGGACCAAATCTGGGGAGGCCATTTACATCACTCCAACCTTTAAATGTGCTACTGTTCCGCATACCTTTGCCACAGATACGAGCACCTGCTTCCACCCTGACAGCCAGCAGTGACCTTCTCATGTTGCCACGTGGGAGGCAAGTGGACAAGACCGTGCAGGTCAGAAGGCCCAAAAAGAACACAACCTTTCACGTGCTAGCCTAAAAACATTTCAAATTTGTATTTTAGTTTCAGAACCAAGTGGCTGGAAGTTTTAGCAGCTGTCATATGCTTTTCATTCCAAATATAAATGAAGAGCTAGCCAAAGCTCCTTGGCAAACACAAAAGAAGATATGCAAATGGGCAGGCTGAGAACATGTCTATTCCTCACTCGAGAGCAGATCACAAGCTACAATTACTGCGTCATATGGAGGACGCCCATTTCTCTTTAATGGAACAGAAGCGTTGGACCATATTATATACATATGCAGGACTTGAAAGAGAAATACAAGGTCAAGCCTGCAACTGAACTGCCACAGGTCTTGCAACTTAGATTTATGCATAACACAGCCAAGGCTGTAACTAACATTCTTCTGCTCTAGGAAAATTCATATTGAAGAGATGAGCTCCTACTGTCACAAAGTAAATCTGAGCTATATAAACTGACCTATAAGCCGTAAATCTGTGAGCAGTGTATTTTTGTCCTTCATCTCTGCCTCTTCTTCCCAACCGTTACAGTAATCTCTTCCCCTAGAGAACACCTGTCAGGAAAAAAGCAACATGCACAGTGGCATTAAATCCATGTATGGAGCAAGCTGCCTGCTATTAAACAGAATAGCTGGGTTCCCTCTGCCTTTCCTGTCCCTGCTGGGCTTGAGAACAAGGACGGAAAGGTGAGAGTGCGCACTGATTTTTGGTATTTCTGAATGCGTTCCTTACACAGTTGTTGAATTTTTACCAAGCTTTAGTGAAATTTTGCATTCTCACACATCTTGACTGAATTTGTACATCAGCTCTAAGCAGAGATCTCTGATCTTAGAGACAGGTGAAACATATAACCCTCATCTATTTCGAGGGAAGCCTTTATCTTTAGCATAATTTTTTACCACTTTTAAAAAAAAAAAAAAGAAAAAAAGAAAGGGTAAGGCAAGCCTCTCTATAACAGCACAGCTG